TTGCGGTCGCAGCGCGCCGAGGGCGCGGGGGACGCGGCGATGTACGCCTCCACCGAGTGCAAGGCCGAGGTGACGCCGTCGCCGCACGGCAACCGCACGTTCAGCTACACGCTGGAGGACCACACCAAGCAGGCGTTCGGCATCATGAACGAGCTGCGGCTCAGCCAGCAGCTGTGCGACGTCACGCTGCAGGTCAAGTACAAGGACGCGCCGGCCGCGCAGTTCATGGCGCACAAGGTGGTGCTGGCCTCGTCCAGCCCCGTGTTCAAGGCCATGTTCACCAACGGGCTGCGCGAGCAGGGCATGGAGGTGGTGTCCATCGAGGGCATCCACCCCAAAGTCATGGAGCGCCTCATCGAGTTCGCCTACACGGCTTCCATCTCCATGGGCGAGAAGTGCGTGCTGCACGTCATGAACGGCGCCGTCATGTACCAGATCGACAGCGTGGTCCGCGCTTGCAGCGACTTCCTGGTGCAGCAGCTGGACCCCAGCAACGCCATCGGCATCGCCAACTTCGCTGAGCAGATCGGCTGTGCTGAGCTGCACCAGCGTGCGCGGGAGTACATCTACATGCACTTCGGGGAGGTGAGGGGGATGGGGAGGGGAGGGGGCGCTCCGGAGTCCAGGGCCATCTGCATACACTCTGGCGAGGAGAGCGTGGGGGCGTAACGTTTACATGCACTTCAGGGCGTCAGGGTGCCAGAGGAGGGGGAGGGGGTACTTGGAGCCAGCCTGGTAGGGGCAGCATCAAGAGAAGGACCAGGATGGACAAGTACTCGTCACTGTCTACTCTTGGGATGTGAAAGGTTAAGGGCACAGCACAGTGGGCTGTAATCTCACCACTTTGGGAGACTGAGGCAGGAGAATCATTTGAGACTGGCCTGGGCAATCCTCTCACCTTGGCCTACAATTTTTTTTTTGAGTTGGAGTCTCACTCCGTTGCCCAGACTGGAGTGCAGTGGCCGCTCCCGGCCACCGCAGCCTCGACCTGCTGGGCTCCGGCGATCCTTCTGCCTCAGCCTTCCAAGTAGCTGAAACTACAGGCGCACGCTACCACGCCCAGCTGATTTTTGGTTTATTGTAGAGATGAGGTCTCGCCAAGTTGCCCAGGCGGGTCTCGAACCCGCGGGCTCAGGCAATCCACTCACCTCAGCCTCCCAAAGTGGGATTACAGGCTGAGCCGCTGAGCCACCGAGCCCGGCGGTCTGCAATTTTTTTAAGAGACATGGTCTCCCTGTCTCCCAGACTGGAGTGCAGTGACTGAGGCATGACCCAACTGCAGTGTCTACCTCCTGGACTCAAGCAGTCCTCCTGCCTCAGACTCCCAAGTAACTGGGACTACAGACACATGCCACCATGCCTGGTTAGTTAATTAATTAATTAACTAACTAATTAATTATTTTGAGTTGGAGTCTCACTCTTTTGCCCAAACTGAAGTGCAATGGCACACTGTTCCCAGCCACCACAGCCTCGACCTGCTGGGCTCAGGAAATCCTTCTGCCTCAGTCTTCCAAGTAGCTGGAACTACAGTACAGGCATTTGCCACCATGCCTGGCTAACTCTTTGGTTTATTGTAGAGATGAGGTCTTGCCAAGTTGCCCAGGCTTGAACCTGTGGGCTCAGGCAATCCTCTCACCTCAGCCTTCCAAAGTGCTGGGATTATAGATGTGAGCCACCATACCACCACGCCTGGTTAATTTAAGCATTTATTTTTTGTAGAGATAAGCTCTTGCTATGTTGCCCAGGCAGGTCTCAACCTCTTGTCCTCAAGCAATCTTCTTTCTGCAGTCTCCCAAAATGCGGGGATTATGTGTGAGCCACTGTGCCCAGCCTCTTAAAAAAAAGGCTTAAGCCGGGCTCGGTGGCTCAGCCTGTAATCCCGCGTCTTTGGGAGGCTGAG